TCCTCATTTACCCATTTAGGCTCATTTTGTGGGTGAAATATTACTTTAAATGAGACATTTTGTGCTCATTTACAAGCATTTCTTCTACAACATGTTTTGATTAATTCACTTTATTTGTCTCACACCGCCTATCTGAATGTACCTGTAATCAATGACTCATTCACACACCCTTTTTGCTTGTTTCAACAGAATTGCGTTGCTAGGCAACAGCTTGTTTACTTCCTGTGAGTTGGTGTCATTCACACCCAATGCAGCCAGATATAAACTGGGACATATTGACAGACGTTTAAAACTGTGAGGTGGTCTGTGCATTGTATAGCTGTGATCACAACCATACGGAAATCCCGAAGGCTCGTTTAAAGGCACCGTTTCTGAATACTGTGTATTGCTCCATGGATTTAGGTTTTCGATACTTTTACAGTATCTATATAGCATCTAGACCTGCTTTATAATAAATTAAAGTCTCATTTCTTACAATATAGGACCTTTAATGTCATCATGTTAGCGTGCTAATGTTAACATTTAGCTCATACCACCAGTGTCTGAAGTACAGCTTCAAAGAGCTGCTAGCAAGGCTGTAGACTCGTATGCTGTGTCTCAAATCCACTACAAACTAATTCTGAGCAGGTTTTTTAGTATACAGAGTTTCCACACTGGAAAAGTGACTTTGTTTGTAATAAACCCAAACCAGACCAATGTACACACAGGGGAATGTATGTATTTAATCTCAAAGATATTTTGCTTTCTATTGTTGAGGTTTGACTTGCAGTCCAGAGACGCTTTTTTTATGGATGTCTGACATTGCTCATATTGTGTCACTTCCTAATAGTTTAAAGAAGTGTTATTTATTTTGCATGCTAAAACTGTGTAATGTGAGGATTAGTACTCTATGGATTAGGACACAGCTTCTGTCTTATTTCTTGAGGGGAAATAAGGAAACTCTTATTATTTTTAAAGTTCTCTTTATTCATCCATCCTTTCTCTTTACTGAGGCGATAATGTGAGCAGAGCCGAATTACACCTAGTTTTAACTGTCACATACACACTTAGAATTTGACCTCAAATGCCCTTTTACTTAATTCATCTGCCGTTTTGTTAAATCTCTCTGAATATCACATTGAAATAGTTTCATATGAGTTTGAAGAGGTTCATTTTTTACACAGTACAGTTCATCTATTTTCCTTTGACTTGTTACATATTTAAACATTTAATTGATTTCAAATAATTCATGATGTCAAACTGCTATTGTCTTGCAATAAGCTGTGAATAACCTGTGAATAACCTGTTCAAAATCCAAGAAGTGAATTCATTTTCTCTTCTGTAGGCAACATTTACATAAAAGATAAATGGCATCTTACTGCAAATTGCGTGCTTTTCTTTTTCTTTTTAATTGTCATTCTGTTAGCAGGGGGATTTCAGATGAGTCACACGCAAGTGTATAAAAGACAAATACAGAGGGTGGAGAGCAGACAGAAGAGAAAGAGAGAGAGAGAGAGAGGCACTCAGCAGAGAAGATGGAGAGAGACACCTGTTGCTGAAAGAGGAATTGGAGACCGGTCAGTAACTACCTAACTACCTAACTACCATTACAACAAACAGACAAAATTACTTTCTGACAACACCTCAGCTCAGATTAGTATCTCCTTAACCAGAATCGAAAGACAACCGCACCTGCTACATCCTGCTAGACCTCGTAACAACTCTGGAGGGAGATGATAGAAACAAAACTTTGCTGATAGTTCCAGCTGCTTCGTCACACCTGGACTGTTTCAGTCTTTTAAAACTCGGTGAACACTCGTTCACGTACCGGATTTAAACTCTTCAATCTCACAGAACCCTTTAGAGGGTCGCTTAAGTGGAAACTTAAGTGGAAAATATGAGGAGAGTGGTGAGAGAATTGGGGTTCAAATTTGCTAAATGTGTATAATGATGTATTGTTTTCTAATCAATGAGGCAGTGAAGTGAGAGTGTAGAGAAAACAGAATTTCCCCCTCAAAGTCTTTTTTGTTAATATAGGTTAATCATTCTGATTGGATTTTTTTAAGTCCAAAATGTTAAAATTGTTTTATTCAGTTAAATGAGAGGCAGTTTACTAGTTCTTCAATACCGTTGCTGTTGTTACTGTTACCTAGGTTACCACAAAAAACAACAACAATGGCCAGTTACTGCCAGTGGTGGAAGAAGTACTCAGATCTTTTACTAAAGTAGCAATACTCTGTTACAAGTAAAAGTCCTGCATTCATAATTTCATTTAAGTAAAAGTATAAAGATACAAAAAGTGAATAGACTTTAAATGTTCTGTATACAGAACGATTTACTTTTATTATATATGAATCATAATTATTGAAGCATCCGTGTGCACATCACTTTAGTGTTGCAGCTGATGAAGAAGGGGCTTTTAAAAAAAATATTTAGTGGATTTGTCCATAATGATACTTGTGAATGAAACAAATGCAAATCTCCTCTTAACGCCAACCAATGCTAAGTGTGTCTGTCACCCCCTGCAGGATATCCTCAACAGCCTGAACACCAACAGTGAGGTAGGCCCGTGGACGATGAAACAGCCTTCAAATCTAGTCCCAGGTTGAGGTTAATGCTAATCGTGATAGGGGTTGTTCATTACCAGACACCTAACATGTTAGCATTAGCTTCACTTTGGGAGATCTCACTTAAAAAACGAACCACCAACGACTACATCCAACGCTTTTACCTCTGATGCTGGTTTACTGGGACGAGGGCATCATTCAACTGAGGAACGATGCCCAAACAGACAGGAAGTGAAACAAGAGTGGACTAACACACACACACACACACACACACACACACACACACACACACACACA